GAGTAAGGGGGGGGGGGCGATAAATACTGCCAGCCCTAGGTGTCTGCTCCCAGGCACCCAAGGTGGGGGATGAGACTGGGAGGGCAGCGCGGGCCGGGGTTCAGCCCGCCGTCTGCCTGTAGTTTCCGTTAATTTCCTGGGCGATGCTGACTGCCTCAGCACCCAGTGGCAGCCGGTCACTGTATTCAGAGCCCACCTCGAACTCCTCTTGGTTGGCTTTGGACTGGGACTCCACCAACGAGCAGGCGGCCAGGCTCTCCTCCCTCTGCAAGCCCCCACCTGAGTCCCCCGGCTCCGCGTCTTCATCAAGGCCCTCCCGGGGAGCCTCCTCCGGCTCTACACCGCCCGCCTCGCCGCCTGCTGCGTAGCTTTTCTCCGACTCGAGGTAGGAGGCACGCGGGTCGAAGTCGGCGGCGATGCGCTTCTCCATGGGGTCGGGGACCTGCGGCCGCAGGATCAGACGGTAGGGCTTCCCCGGGTGTTTGGCCAGCAGATGGCAGCAGGCAGCGCCCAGCAGGGGCACGGTGGCCAGTACCAAGAGGAACACGCTCACCGCCACGATAACCAGCAGGGAGGGCAACTCCTTCTTGGTAGCGAACACCACTTGCACATGGCAGGCCTGGCCGGCCTGCGCCAGGCACACGGAGTAGTTGGTGCCAGGCCGCAGGCCGCGGAACCAGTAGGCGTTGATGCCCTCCTCCACGCGCGACCACTGAACTGCTGCACCGCCCCCCGCCGGGCACAGATAGAGCCGGCGCAGGGGCCGCTGCCCAGACCACCCAACTTCCCCAGCCCCGCCAGGCCTTGGGCCCCAGCGCGCCGCCAGCGGCGTCAGCTGCACCCGCGCTTCTCGCTCCGCCACGTCGAGCGCGATAATGCCCAGCTCAAAGACGTGGGGCTTGAGGTCGGCGCTCTGGTTGAACGCGTGATTGGACACATACCGCGAGGGGTCCCCGTGACCACAGCGCTGCTCCTCCATCTGGTCTTCCGCCTCCTCTCCCTCCCTGACCTCCTCCTCCGGCCCCGCCTCCGTCTCCCCAAAGACGCTACCCCGGGCTGGGCCCTGACCTTTGATTTTGCCCTCAGGCTTGGAGGGTAGGACGCTGTTGCCCCGAGCTTTAGCTGTGGACTTGCGCTCAGAGGTCGGGGCCTGCACATCCGGGTCTCCCCCGGCGCCAGGAACATGCTTTGGGGGCCCGGCAGCCGCCACCACCACGCGTACTGACGTGGAGTTGGTTCCCAGCTCGTTGTGGGCATGGCACGTATAGACGCCTGCCTCCTTGGCACTCAGGAGGGGCACCAACAGGGAGCCGTTTGTGAGCGCCAGGAAGCGTGGGGTGGCTGGAGGCGCGGGCCAAGCCGGTGCTGGAGACGGGGTTGGGGCCTCCGTCCGCGTCAGCCCATCCCCATCTAATTCCTCCTCTCCGTCTTCCATCCCGCCCCCGTAGTCCTCCTCACTCGAAACCCGCTGTTCTAAGACTACGGTGCCACCCGGGATCTGAAGTTGCCACTGTAGGCGGGGCGTGGGGTGTCCTTCGGCGGCGCAGTGTAGCTTGAGCGCCATGCCAGCGCGCAGGGCGCTGCCGGGCGCCTCGATGGGCGGCTCGGCACTCAGATGCACACTGGGTGGTGCACAGGACAGGACCGGCAAGCGGCGCACAGGAACCCCCTGCAGCGCGGTTGGCGTCGCGCACGCGATGGAGTCGATCTCTGGTAGGGAGACTCGGGTGCTCTCGGCCCAGGCCTGCAGCCACATTAGGCTGCAACCGCAATGGAAGGGGTTGTGATACAGTTGCAGATGTGACAGTGCACTTAGCGCATCGAAGGTGCCGGGAGCCAGTGTACGCAGCCGGTTGTTGTTGATGCGCAGGGAGCGCAAGTCCGGCAGCGCACGGAGCGCGTCCCGGGGAAGCGAGCCCAAGCGGTTATGGTTCATTTTGAGAAGCTGCAGCGCGCTCAGGTTACGCAGGTCGCTCCATGGAAAGCTGGATATAAGGTTGTGGCTCAAGTCGAGGTTCTTGAGCTGGCTCAGCACCGCCAATGCGCCCCGCTCCACAGTGCGCACCTCATTGTGCGCCAGCCACAGCGACGTGACCTGCGTGACGTTGGCGAAGGCCCCACGCCGCAGCACGGTGATCTTGTTGGCTGACAGACTAAGCGTAGTCACGTTGGTCGGCAGTCCTTCGGGCACCTCGCGAAGGTCCTTGTAGGCGCAGTCGGCGAACTGGTGCGCGTACTTGTCTACGCAAGCGCACGGCTCTGGGCAAGCTCCTGCCACTCCCAGCAGCGCCCAGGCTAGCCACACTGCTAGCAAGGGCACCATTGCGGATCCTGCACGTGGAAGTGGGGAGAGAGGGGGAGAATGTGACTCACCGAGCCCCACCTTCCGTCCCCTATCAAGCTCTGCCTCCAAGACCCAGTCTTGAGTAGGCCCAGGTAACCCCCTTTATGCCCAGGAGCCTGTCTTGGGCATGTGTGGAGCTCAGTAAACACCTCGGGATTCAATGCTTGCTCCCTCTTGGAGCCCTTCCTTTCCCTGCGGCCTTCTACCATGCTCTTTTTTCTCTATCTACTCCTCCCCCCCTCCCCCCCTCGCTGGCCCCTTTGCTCGGCTGATCGCTGGTCTGCCTTGGGCTCTGCACTGACCCCTGTCTGTATTTCTAAGCCTTTGTTTCATCCGTGAAAGGCATACACAGAAAGGGTATTTTTGTCCGTGATCGCTGCCCTCTCTGGAACTCTTTGTCCCATCTACAGCAATCGCACACACGCCCATACATCAACAATACAAACACGCTCGGGCACAGCCATCAAACCGCTAACTTCTACAGGGATTTAGAGGTTCACAACACATTTTGTAGACACACAAACACAAAGGCACCCAGACACAGACACAATATACACTGGAGGCCTCATTCTTACAGCCGAACCCAGCATTTGTACAGCGTTCTCCATAACGGTGCAAGGCGCTTTTCCTATTCATTGCTGGAATTGACAGACACAAGGACACAAGCCCTCACAGGAACGGACCTACACACTGGGACACAAGCGTGCACACAGCCCTCCACTGAGACCAAAATTCCAGCGGATCAGCAATTCGGAGAACTTGCCGCCAGTGGCAAGAGCCTGGGACCCACGAAAGCCTGTTCGCAGGCCCCTCAGCCACTGTGACCTAAGCCTCCTGCTGCTCTGGGTTGCAGTTCCTTCCAGGGGAGAACCCAGGGTGCTCAGTCAGCCTTCTCTCTGAGGAAGGAGGTCCTCTGCATGGACCAGGAGCATTGTAGGAATGTTACTAAAGGTCCCCGTGCCCATAGAGCAGAGCCCAGGTGCCTCTCAAGGGAGCAGAGGGGTCCCTAGCTGATGGGCCATGGGGGCTGTCACTAGCTAAGTGGGAAAGGGTTGAAGATTCTGCTCCTTTTCTGCAGCTCTAGGATGCCCTAGAGCCCCCTCTCCAATAAAACCTTCTCATCCCCAGCCACACAAACACACTTACACACGGACTGCCCATTCCTGCCTAGGGCTCCAGGCAGGGTTGGGAGAGGCACTCCCACACCCCTCTTTGGGAACCCTTGTCCCTCACTCCACCTTTGCTCCCAGGGGAGGGCTCCTCCCCATCTCTTCCCTGTGGGGGGGAGGGGGGTCCAGCACCTGAGGCTGGGTCTACCCCCACCTAGATCTAGGTTGTGGGGAAGTGGAAGGCTTACCTGCTCTTTGTGGACTCTCCGAGCACCGCCTTGGGCTTCAACCCCTTCTCTAGACTTGATGTTTCAGAGAGGACGACAGCCCAAGGGCGCTTCCCACATCTGTTGCTGCGACTGTGGGGAAGGTGGGAGGGGAAAGGGACGGGTAAATTTGGGTTCTCTCCTGGCCCCGAGTCCCCACTTCAGTTTTTCCTTTCGTGTCTGTTCCCTCCACCTCTAGCTGGCTGCAGATTGAAGACAGTCCACGCGCGCTCCCGGCTGGTCAGGGACGCGCACAGCCTCTCCCACCTCCCGCATCCTCAACATTCGTTAATGCCATAAAGGCTCTACCCCTGGCGGAGACACTTTTTGGCCCCCACACCCACCGCCCTCGCCTAGGCTCTTTCCAGCTCACCGCACCCCATAACCCATGTCCCTCCACATTTACACATCTGCAGACATTACCGCTATTCTTTATCACATCGCCCCCCCCCCAAGTTCAAACACATTAGCACAGACCCTCACCGCTTCACATGTTAGAATTATCCACCATGTAATAATTGCGTCGATGTGTTGAGCTCTCACTACGTTCACATATTTTCAAAGGCACACACCTTCACCCAGGACACTCGCCAGCCTGCCCCTCCCTCACGCACACTCAGTCAGGGTACTCACCCCTACGAGCGGGTCCGCCAGGACCCG